CCTGAGGTCACATTAAAGCACCTTTGAAACATTGCTTTGGTGTAGAGTTTTTTTAAAGTTTGAAATGACCTGCTGGTCCATGGGCTGGAGGAGAGGAGTGGTATTCGGGGACAAGAACTTTACTGTGATGAACTCAAACTCCTGCAGAATTAGGTCATCCAAGTTTGGAGGATGAGCAGGTGCATTGTCCATTACTAGGAGGCACTTGAGATCCAATTTGTTTTCCAGGAGATACTCCTTCACACTAGGGCCAGATGCTTCATTGAACCACTCGACGAAAATTTCCCTCGTGACCCATGCCTTATTATTAGATCTCCAAGACACACACAATTTACTCTTCATAACATTTTTTCCCTGAACACACTGGGATTTTCAGAATGGTCCCATTGCTCTTACCAGTGCAGTTTGCAAAGTGATGGCGTCTGGTAAATCGACATTTAATGTGGCATTTAGAGAGAGACAGCAGTCTCCCCACTAGTCAATATGGCTTTCGTAAGGGCTGTTCTACCACAGACCCCTTACTATGCTTGGATACGTATGTTTGTAATGCCTTCGCGAGTAACCACTCAGTTATTGCCATATTTTTTGACCTTGAGAAGGCATGTGATACAACTTGGAGGTATAATATTTTGGCCCAAGCCCACTCCTTAGGCCTCCGAGGCAATCTACCATCCTCCCTTAAAAACTTTTTAACTGACAGACATTTCCATGTTCGGGTTAATAATGTGCTCTCCCTGAACTTTGTCTAAGCTGAGGGTGTCCCTCAGGGATGTGTTCTGAGCACAACACTTTTTCTCCTTGCTATAAATGATTTGGCCTCTAGTCTTCCATCCAATATTTGGGCATCACTCTATGTTGATGACTTTGCTATAGCTTGTGCAGGCACTGACTGTCACCTCTTTACAGTTTCTCTCCAGCATGCAGTCGCCCGTGTTTCCAATTGGGTCATCATGCATGGGTTTAAATTTTCCGGTACCAAAACTCACCAAATTACTTTCACTAGACGCTCTGTCATCTCTGATCATCCTTTGTACCACTATGGCTCATGTATCCCTGAACATGATACAGTCAGGTTTCTAGGCCTTCTCTTTGACCGTAGGTTGTCCTGGAAACTTCACATTACCTCTCTGAAGGCAACTTGTCACAACCGGCTGAACCTTCTTAAAACCCTTGCTGTTCTTTCATGAGGAGCTGATCGTCGAACTCTCCTTTGCCTACATTCAGCCCTCATTTTATCGAAACTCGAATATAGTGATCAGATCTATTCAGCTGCCTCTTCTACTACTCTCTCGAGCCTTAATCCCATCTATCACCAGGGATTACGTTTGTGCCTTGGTGCTTTTTGCTCTTCCCCTGTCGAGAGCCTCTGTGCAGAAGTGAATGTCCCATCCTTGTCCGATCACTGTGATGCCCATTGCCTTCGCTACTATGTTCGCTCTCATGATCTGCACAATCCTTCCATATATAGAATAGTCACCGATGTTAGTAGACATTCTTTATTTATTTGTCGCCCCTGTTTGCTCCGTCCCTTTTCTCTTCGACTACATTCGCTCTTGTCTTCCCTTCAGTTACCACCTTTCTATGTTCATGTAGCATCTCACTTTTCCCTACCCCCCCTCCGGGAAGTTCCAGGTGTTCGAGTCTGTTCTTTCTCACTCCCTTGCTCGAAAGCCCAACTGTCTATGGTAGCTTCCTGGTCTCTCTTTCTTGACCACTTCCGCTCTCATTCTCATGCCATCGCAGTGTACACAGATGGCTCTAAGTCTTCTGATGGCGTCAGATTCGCAGCAGTGTTTCCGGACAGTGTCGTGCGAGGACACTTACTATCCTCGGCTAGCATTTTTACAACTGAATTGTATGCTATTCTTGCAGCACTTACCCATATTACATCTATGCCTGTGTCATCATTTGTGGTTGTGTCAGAGTCCCTTAGTGCTCTACAGGCTATACGAAAATTTGATACACCTCACCCCCTAGTCCTCCGTATCCAACTTTGGCTACGCTGTATCTCTACCAAACATAAAGATATTGTTTTTTGTTGGGTCCCTGGTCATGTTGATGTACAGGGCAATGAACAGGCAGACACTGCTGTGCGGTTAATAGTACATGACCTACCAGTTTCATGTAGAGGTGTTCCATTTATGGACTATTTTGCTGTAACAGCTACCCACCTTCACACTCGTTGGCAACAATGTTGGTCTAATCTACTCGGTAACAAACTTCACTCTATTAAACCAAGTATGTACATGTATAGGTTACTGGACGTCTTCTTGTCATCAGTGTTGAGGTTGGGAGACTACTCTCTTTCGTCTTCGCATTGGCCACACTCGTCCTAGTCATGGGTATCTTGTGGAGAGGCACCCTGTTCCTCTCTATGAGAATTGTCAGGTTCCAGTATCGGTCAGCCACATTCTGTTAGACTGCCCACTCTATCAATGAGCACACAGAATTTACCTCCAACATCGTCTCCGCTCTACTACTCTCTCTTTACCTTCCCTTCTTGCTGATGGACCTTCCTTTAATCCTGACTCTCTCATTGACTTCTTGATAACAACTGACTTACTCCACAAACTCTGATGATGATACCTTTGCACTCCCCTCAGCCCTTTCTACCTCAATCTCTTGCTACCCTCTACCCCTGTACTATCCACTGCCCCGCTGTTCTCCGTAACCTACTAATTATTCCCCCCCCCTTTTGCCACCTGATACCTTTGCTTCCTTCGTGCCCTGCAACGCTGTATAGCCCTTGTGGTTTAGCGCTTCTTTTTTATTATGATAATAATAATATATGATAATCTCCCTGGGATACTTTATTGAGTATCCCAAAGATATTATTTATCTAGAATACTCTAGGATGCTTTTCAGGGATACACTCTCGGGGATACTTTTCAGGATAATCTCTGGGATACTTTTTCAAAGATAATCTCTCAGGAATACGTGATAAAGTATCCCAAAGAGGTGATTTATCTATAATACTTTTCAGGGATTCTCTCTGGGCTACTTTTTCAAGGATACTCTCCCTGGGATAATTTATTAAGTATCTGGGATGCTTTAAGATACCCCTCTCTGGGATACTTTTCAAAGATGATCTCTGGGATACTTGATAAAGTATCCCAGATAGATAATTCATCTGAAATACTTGATCAAGGATATTCCAGGGTACTTTTCAGGGATAATTTGTCTGGGATACTTTATGAAGTACAGTCATACCCCGTCCTACGTCATTAATTGGTTCCAAGAGCCCCCGACGTAACCCAATTTTTGACATAAACCAGACGTAATGCCTTAAAGCTGTTTTAAAATAACGACAACCATCGTAAAACTACCTTAAATAATTCATGAAAGAATGTAACCATTGCTAAACCTTAAGCAACACGAAAACACATTTTAGTCATATTTTTAAAGAATAAAGAACACAAAAAAAAATTATGACGCAGGTGATGTTGCCGAGCGACATTGAGTCGGACGTAATGACGTTCACTGAACTGAAATTTACTTCAGAAAAGTGACGTAAAGGTGAATTTGTTGGCCAAAATGACATAAAGTGGAATATGTCTGTATGCCAGAGAGAGATTTTATGTACATACTTTATCTGGGATAATCTCTCTCTAGGATAATCATCCTACATAATTAAGACAGCAATACTACACTATGTTAAACACAACCAGTTTTCATCCTGTTCTGTACCTGTTCTCCTTCCATCCATCCATCCTTCAACTCTCACACACAGTTGCTAACACATTTTGTCCTATTCTGTTTCTGTTGTAACAAAAATACATTGCTGTATCTTCACTATCAGTTCAGCACTGCTGTAAGACCCTTACAGGTTTAGTGCTTGGTTATGATTATAATAAACACCATTTACTCAGTCATTCTGCAAAACTAAAGAACATTGAATAATTTTTATAAAGAACATTGAATAATTTTTAATAAGTAATATTGTATTAATGGTACCATTTGTTCATTAGCTGCCTTTATTATTGTACTTATGATCGTACTTAACTGCATAAGAACATCATCTACTTAATTGTCCATGCCTAAATCGTAAGTAACATTTTTGTTCTAGGATTAGTTTGCTTGAAATTAATTTCAAAATTAGTGGCTTTCTTATATAATAATAATAATAATAATAATAATAATAATAATAATAATAATAATAATAATAATAATAATAATAATAATCTACAAGTACAGCCTCTCCTCAATGACGGAGTTGCGTTCCTGAGACCATGTGGTTAAACGAATTTGTCGCTAAGTGAGGAGCATACCATAATGGCAGCGAGTTTGTGTCAACCATCTTTGATATTGTTTTAATGTCACATTTGCACCACTTATAACATTTCTGGTATATTTTTAAATGTTTATATAGTAGTATACTGTATATTGAAATAAACAGAATAGAAGAAATCAGCTCTAATATACATTATTTAGGTATGCATACTGGTCAGAGAGCCTGTAAACGAGTATGTCGCTAAGTGAGGAGAGGCTGTACATGATACAACTTATACAGACCATAACTGACATCAGTGACATACTATATAGAAAGTTCCTGGTTATGCAGAGCATTTCCTACAACTTAGATCAGTTTTGTCCCCAGGATGCCCCTCACACCAGTCCACTAACACCCAGGTACCTACTTACTGCTAGGTGAACAAGGACAGCAGGTGTCTTAAGAAAACATGCCCAGTGGTTATTACGTGTTCAAACCCCATCCATTCCTTGTTTTTTTTTTTTATATCATCAGACTTAATTGAGTGATTCAGAAGAGAACCAGACAGTATGGTTATGAATCTAATCCAGAAATATTGACTTTTTGGTATCTTCTTTAATAACTCCAGTGATTGTATATTTACCTGGAGGGTGTTTCGTGGGTCAACTCCCCCACGGCCCAGTCCAAGGCCGGGCTTTGTGGTGGATCAGGGCCTGATCAAACAGGCTGTAACTGCTGACTGCATGCAATCCAGCATAGGAATCACCTGACTGGTCAGATACTGACTTTGGTATCTGTCCAGTTCCCTCTCAGAGACAACCAGGGGTCTATTGGTAATCCCCCTTATGTGTACTGGGAGGCTGTCGAACAATCTTGGGGCCCTGACACTTTTTGTGTGCTTGCAGTCTGCAGCTGTTAAATATGCAAGTTCCTGGCATCAACACAGAAGAGCCTCAGGTGGCAGTCAGGATTTAAGGAATCAGACTGTGCTACCCATCCACATAGCTCAGGAATGTACCGAGGCTCAAAGATGGCCTCGTGACTCCGTGTATGTGGCAAATTATTCCGAGAAACCCACCTTGAGGCACGTCGGCAAACAGCCGGGCCTACCGACAGGCCCGAGTAGCAAACTAGCAAGAGCTCAGCTGTGTAAATCTCCCACTTCTAACCATGAGTGCAATAAATATTTTGTCAGAGCAGCAGTAGGCACAAGTGTCTTAATACCCGAAGCATGTAATGAATATTTGTCAGAACAGCAGGAGACACGAGTGTCTCAATACATGAAGCAGAGCACAAACAAACGTGGGGAAATCTGCCGGTTAATTTAAAGACGTCTCTTCCTGCACCACAACTTGAAGATGGGACTCTGGAGAACAGTGACGTGGCAGTCAGAATGCCTGCCACTAAGAGCCGGACAAGCCACACCAACAGTTACTTACCAATCAGTGTGGAACTGATAGGAGGTAGTGGTCAAGCTAGTATGCCTGGGGATGGGAACAAGAGCTCTGGCAGCACCAAAGTAAGATGTCTGCCACCATCACATACATTAGCAATGTCTGCCTCTTTTATCAAGTCATATTTCAGCTCCGGTCCTGAAAAACAATCAAAAAATGCTGGTTCGACTAGAGAGAGCGAAACATCCATCAAAACAAAAACGTTGGGTTTGTGGAATAACGTCAAATATGGCGAGTGGTAATGGTGAGCTATAATGGTGAAGCATAATGGTGACTGGTAACGAAGAGTACATGTATATGGATCATAATGTTTGAGTCATTATATTTGACATAGTGACATAAATGATAATATACTATATAGAAAGTCCCTGTTTATACAGAGCATTTCCTGGAAACTAGGTTCAGTTTGTCCCCTGGAAGTGACTTGCACCAGTCCACTAACACCCAAGTACCTACTTACTGCTATGTGAACAGGGACGGCAGGTGTCTTAAGGAAACATGTGCTAATATTTCCAAGCTGTACAGGGGATTGAACCCCGCACATCTGTGTGTGAGCTGAGTGCGCTACCAACCCAGCTACAGGGCACCTTAACCCTTTCAGGGTCCGTCCCGTAGATCTACGGCTTTACGTTCAGGGTCCAAGCCATAGATCTACGCCATGAGCTCAGCTCACTCTCATAAGCTGTGAGTGGTAAATTTGGGCCTAGATATAAGATAATACCTGTATGTGGTATGTGTGCACCACATAAAACAAATCCTGCAGCACACAGTGTATAATGAGAGAAAAAAACTGAGACTGTGATTTTCGATTAAAACAGCGATTTTGCAGTGTTTTTTCTTATGTTTTTTATAGTTGTATTTGAGATTTTTTGGTCTCATTTGATAGAATGGAAGACATATTACAGAAGTAGAGATGATTTTGATTGGTTTTAGTAATGGAAATGGCTTGAAACTGAGCTCAAAGTAGCAGAAATGTTAAATTTTTGTCGATGTTCAAGAGTAAACTAATGACCTCACACGTCTAATACACGCCAGCTGGTGGGTCTAATATACATTCACAAATGTGATGATAATATTTATACAATTATTACAATATTGTGTAACAGCAAATGTTCTATTTTTTGGTTTGAATAAAAATTCATTATGTGAATAAAAAATAAAAATGGAATTCATTTGTAAAGCCTGAAAACATAACTAATGAGCAGAGGAAATGTTAGATTAGTGCCAGGAATACCTGCATTGTTTATTCTGGACCCAGTTTTGAAATTGGAATATTTTGAACTTTGTGTTAAATTGGCCAAATTAGCAATTTCCGATCACTTTAATTTGTAGCTGAAACAGTTGACTGGGCAATTTCTTGTGCTCAATCGATAAAATAGAAGTAATACTAGTGAAATAGCTAAGAATTTGGTTGACTGGAATAATGTAATTGTCCTAAAATCAGAGTCAGAGTCGGCAAAATCGCCGATTCGTAAATATAGCTGACACATCAAAATTTGCGAGAGCATAATTTCGTCAGTTTTCCATCAAATTTCATACTTTTTGTTTTATTACCTTCAGAAAAAGATTCTCTACCATTTCATAAGAAAAAATAACCAATTTTTTTTTTTAAATTCTTGGATATTGGTGCACCCTTTGAAATTTGGTCTCTGGACCCTGAAAAGGTTAATAGTAATAATGCATGTATTTGTTTCTACATTAAGTGATTATCCTGAGAGTAATGTTTAAAAAGTAACTGAGCTTGTATAACTAATTTAATATATTAAGTGATAGCAAATTAATACTTCAAGGGTTTGCAACCTACAGATAAAAAGCTGCCTTTGTTACCAGTATTTATCAAGAAAAAGCTCATCTTGTAAAATGATAGAGAATCTTTTCTTAAAGATAATGACACTGAACTGTAAAGTTTCCTGTAATAGAGATTTATGCAGGCACAAACGTTGAAGTTTGGGAGCACTTTGAGTCCAGTTTTTGGCTTATTCTTGTATTGAAATCCATGCAGTGGTCAGCTATGTTTCTGATATATCTCATGTACAGTGCATTAATCATGAGAAACTGAGCATTTGCCATGGGACCTACCCTATTAAGTACTAAGGGGTTGGTAGTTTAATCACTTTTACTCAAATTTTCAAAAATTTAAATTTGTGAAAGACAAAAACATCAAGTATAGACATTGCAGTCGCTACAGTAACTTTGTTTCCTCTCTCATTAATTACATCTGCATGTCTCTAATATACAGCCTCTCCTCACTTAACGACGGAGTTCCGTTCGGTAAACAGATTCATCGCTCGGCAAGAAGCATACTATGATGATAGTGGGTTTGTGTCAGCCATATTTGATATTGGTTTAATGTCACCTTTGTACCATTTATAACATTTCTGGTATATTTTTAAATGTTTATGCAGTAGTTTACTGTATATTGTAATAAACAGAATAGAGGAAATCGGCTCTAATATACACGTATGCATGGTGGTCAGAGAGCCTGTCGTAAGTCTGAGTCGTCAGTAAAGAAGTACGTAGTACGTCACTAAGTGAGGAGAGGTTGTATAACACTTGTTCTACATTTTCAGTCAATCCTCACACCAAAAATAAATGTTATTTTTATATCTTGGTTATGAACCATTGCCAAGAATGCTTATTGGTGGTTTATGGTGTTGCAGAAATTTTAGCAAGCCCTGACACACAATGTTCAAAGCCAGTGCCTGTTTTTCACATGCCTCTGCCTGTGTATTTTAACCTCACATTGACCTTCACCCACCTTGTCACACGTCCTCAGCCTCCTCCTGGCCATATGTCAGAGAGCAGGATGGCTCTGAACTGACACCTTCACCCAACATCAGGCTTTTGCCCATCTCCCACAGTTGCCCTCAACCCACACCCCCCACCATGCTTGCACCCACCTCTCTGCCAAACACCTGCACATTATCAAGGTCATATCCTCACCTGCCTGTCTGTACCCACGTTTACACCAGTGGGTGTACGTTGCAGTGCCACATGGTATGCACAGTGTGTGAAGAAAACACGGGATGGCAGCAAGAGCCACTTTCAACCCTTTGTTCATACCTTCACTCACCCTTCTTCTCCTAGTACCTTGTCCTCACTCACTAACTTCCACCCAGTAGGTTGCCCTCTCCCACCCAGTAGGTTGCTTACTCCCACCCAGTAGCTTGCTCACTCCCATCCAGTAGCTTGCCCTCTCCCACTCTCTATCATACAGGACAATGGACTGGGCTCTAGGTTCACTATGAGGCAGAGGGAAAAGATTGTGGCGCATGCCACATTCCCCCTACACGTACTGAACCACGTTAAGTGATGTTTATGGCATTTCCTCCGAAAATATGCCGCAATTTTGCAAAATGCGTTAATGGACAGTGCAATATCTGACGGTCTACTGTATATTTCCCAGTTAAAATGGTATGTTTTATTTTGCATCATAAATGGGACACATTGCCTAAAGCTTGTAATATGAATGTAAGTTTAATCCAACAAAAGTTATCTTGGGTCAGGTTCAAATAATTTAATGTTAATAACATCATTGATATGAGGTGGGGGGTAAATAAAATGGCGTAAGTAACATGCCGGCCAAAAATGCTCATTGTTACATTGTTTGCCATGGACTGTGTTTGTCTTGTGGTGGAGGTGGGAAGCAAGATTGCTGGTGCAATTTTGCAATGTTTGCAAGGTGTAAAATTACCTTGAATGATGAAATAGTTGATGTTTGAACAGTATATCTGTGATGCATACAGTGTTTTGCTGTCAGTTAAAGGTCAGGAAGTGTTCTGAAGTGTTTTTCCAATATACTTTGATGTCCAGCAGACCGTAACAAATTTGTTTACCAGTCTTTTGTATTATAAAAGAAAGCTAGTGGAATTATAAAAGACTTTAATTGTAATTGTTTATAATCTAGTATCATAGCAACAATTAGTTAAAAGTTGAGCTTATATATGTAGAAATCATGACTGAAAAATCTACATTTGCTAGTTTACGAAAGATTATTTGAATGATGTAGATATCTTCATTAGTTTATTAGTTTGACTTGCAAATTGCTAATACATTTTTGTCAGTTTAAATTATTATTTTTGTTTACTTGTGGTGCCTCATATCCTGTATCAATTAGAATTTTATGTTAATAGATTTTTGGCCATTGATTAGTTAAAAAAAATTCACTGTGCTTAATTGGCAAAATGACAGACTGACAGACTGACTGTCTTGCTCTGTCAGCTTAAATCTGTAGGATTACTGTGGTTAGCAATGATAAGCAGGAGATTACAGTCTGGATTTTTTCCAGGTTGGGCGGTTAATCTCCAAACAAATTTCTCCCAGGATTCTCCCGTGTACCTGCTGGGATGTGTCTATCATAAATGTTTAGGTGAAGATGAAGATAATTCAGAGGAAGGTAACATAACATTTTTGTAATTGAAGAATAATATAACTCGAGATATAGATCAGTTCAGAAAAATTCTCATTTGTTTATAAGTAGGTTATGATAGCTGTGTGGTTTATAGTGTGAAAAATGTGCAGTTTATTAGAGGAAATGTTTAGCCACAAGTGTCTTCTTCAGTCTAGTACAGAGATAACTATGAAACAAGTATATATAGTGGCACATGTATCTAATTTAAAAAGTGATCATTTATTCATAAGTAGGTTATGATAGCTGTGTGGATTATAATGTCCCTGAAAATCCAAAATAGCAAAATGTTTGGAATTGACCATTTTGTCTTATTAATGTCTTGATTGTAGGGGTTGAGAGGCATGGTATGGAGGCCTTCAAGGAGCACCTGCACAGTCTAGTGTGGTGCACATACCAGTGACAGTTTGCAACGTTGCAAGACTCCTCCCTGACCCCTGACTGTGGCTGGGGTTGTTTGTTAAGGACAAGACAGATGATGCTGGCTCATTCTCTCATCCAACACTTTCTCACCAGAGGTAAACTAATTATTCAGTCTCTTTACCGGATTTGACAGACAAATTAATCGAGTGGTTAATTACTGAAATAGTGTAAATGAAGTGATAATAGACCAGTTTCCTTGCCCACCTCGTACGGTAAATATTCATATAACAGACTTTTAAAAATATGGTAAGAATTCCAAGTAAATTGTGCTTTTAGTTATTTTCGACATTTATGCGAGTATACCCAAATTGTGTAACAGGTTTGTAGTACCATGTTAGGTATACAGTAGAGTGCATTTTATTGTATTTTTTTTTTTATCTGATATAATGGACACCCCCTTTCAATCCATTATACAGTGGACCCCCAGTTCACGTTATTAATCCATTCCTGAGAGCTCATCGTAAAGCAAAATTATCGGAAAGCGAATAAATTTTCCCCATAAGAAATAATGGAAATCAAATTAATCCATGCAAGACACCCAAAAGTATGAAAAAAAAAAACTTTTACCACATGAAATATTAAGTTTAATGCAATAGAATAATTACAATAGCAATAATAACAATAGAATAATCACAATAGAATAATTGACACTTACCTTTAATGAAGATCTGGTGATGATTGATGGGATGGGAGGAGGGGAGAGTGTTGAAGTTTTTAATGTTCAGCTCCTTTTTGGTCTGAACTGGCAGCCTCACCATGCCTAATCACACTATGTATGCCACTACGATTCTTAAATATTTCAAACCAACTTTTGCTGGCCTTAAATTCACTCGCATCACCACTAGTTGCAGGCATTTTTCTAATTAAATCCTCATGCAACTGCCTAGCCTTTTCACAAATGATCGCTTGAGAGATGCTATCTCCAGCTATCTGTTTTTCATTTATCCACACCAATAACAGTCTCTCAACATTTTCTAACACTTGCAATTGCTGTTTTGTAATCACAGTTGCACCTTTTGCAAGAACAGCTTCCTTCATTGCCGTTTTCCTGCTCACTATAGTAGAGATGGTTAACTGGGATTTACTATACAACTTGGCCAGGTCTGACACATGCACTCCACTTTCATACTTTGCAATTATCTTTTTCCTCATTTCAATAGTCATTAGCACCCTTGGTCTCGATGGGTTGGCACTAGAAGCTTTCTTGGGGCCCATGGTGACTTAGTTTGCAGAAACAAGCACCAAAAACAGTGATAATATGGATAATATGGAATGTACCGAATGTATCCTTAGATGCGCGCACACTGGCTGGCTTGTAAACAGTGGCACACATGGGGCAGTTCAGGCCACACACGGACACGTCTCGTACGAATCATATTGCGTACCAGGTTTTGTAACGGGAACCGAGGCAAATTTTTTGCGATATAATGCTTCGGATACCGGATTTATCGGTTACCGATGACTTCGCGAACCGGGAGTCCACTGTATTGAGGTTTTACTGTAAATGTCTGGAAAGTTTGTTATATGGTTGTGTTTGTAGTTGTTGCTGCTGTGTTGTACATAGTTTGATTTTATCTGTGTTAAGTAATAAGAGATGCAAATTAAAGCCAGAGTGGGTTAAAATGTTTTGGAAATGTCTTACTCTGTATGTATTTTCAAACGAAAACCTTACGCTTAACACTGCATCAGTGTTTGTGTGGTAGGTACCTTTGATATACCTTTGAAGAGCTTCGAGAGTTTTGCTACTCTGGAAGCCCAGCCATGGGCCAGGCTCATCTGGTGCTTGCCTGGTCAACCAGGAAGTTGTTGCTGGAGGCCCACTGCCCTACATATCCATCGCAGACTGGTTTATCTGGCACCTGGTGAAGATACTTGTCCGGTTTCCTCTTGAAGGCTTCTACAGTGTTTGTGATATTTTCTGGTAAGATGTTGAATAGTCTGGGACCCTGAATGTTGATACAGTGTTCCCTTGTTGTTCCCACCACACCCCTGCTCCTCTCTGGGTTTGTTTTACACTTCCTCCCATATCTCTCACTCCAGTATGTTGTTATGGCAGTGTGCAGATTTGGGACCAACCCCTCGAGTACTTTCCGGGTATATATTATCGTGTATCTCTCTCCTCCGCTCCAATGAGTACACGTTCAAGACCTGATGGCGTTCCAAGTAATTTAGGTGCTTTACTGGTCGGTGTGAGCCGTAAACGATCTCTGTATTTGTTCCAGCTCCGATATTTCTCCTGCTTTGAATGAGGCCATCAGCACTGAGCAGTATTCTACATGAGGGAGCACTAGCGATTTGAAGAGTGTCACCATTGGCATTATTTCCCTTGTTTTGAAAGTTCTCAGTACCCACCCCATCATCTTCCTGGCTGTTGTGATCTTTGTCTTGTTATGGTCTTTAAAAGAAAGGTCAGCCAACATAATTATTCCCAGATCTTTTGCGTGTTCCTTTCATTCTAGTTGGTGACCCTGTTGAGTTTTGTACACAGTATTCCTTTTGAGTTCTTCATTCTTTCCATACCTAAGCAGGTGGAACTTATCACCATTGAATGTCATGTTGTTCTCCACTGCCCACTGGAAAACCCTGCTTATGTCTTCCTGTAATTTTTCACTGTCCTCTACTGTAATGACTTTCATGCTCATTTTAGTGTCATCTGCAAATGATGATATGAAAGTGTGACAAGTGCTTTTATGTATGTCTGCTATGAGGATGAGAGGTGCCAGGACAGTGACTTGGGGCACTGAGCTCTTTACCTTGATGATACTGGGTCTTGCTCTGTTTACTACTGCTACTTTTTGTGTGTTAGGAACCCAAAAATCCACCTGCCTACCTTCCCCATAATGCCCATGGCCCTCATTTTGTGTGCTATGATTGCATTTGTCAAATGCCTTTGCAAAATCTGTTTAAATCACATCTGCATCTTGGTCATCTTCCAATGCCTCTGTAATTCTGTCATAATGGTTCAGCAGCTGTGACAGGCATGATCATCCTGCTCTAAAACCATGCTGGCTGGTTCAGGTTATGCTGATTGTGCTGGTCCATGAAATTTGTAATCTCATCACTCTTTCAAAGATTTTTATGATGTGACAAGTTGGTCTGTAATTTTTAGCTTACTACCTCCCTTATGCAAAGGAGATACGTTTGCATTCTTTAAGGCCTCCGTTATTTCACCTATACATGTATCTTTCTCCAAAGAATACCGAGGGCTCGTCATACTTGTTCATAAACAGGGCATTCCATGAATCTGACTCAGGTGCTGGGTGAATGGGCATGTTATCCATTTCTTTTTCGAAATCTATGGGATTCGTATTAATGTCGATCTGTGTGGCCTTCTGCTGGAGTGAAAAATGTTTCTACATTTTCTGTCATTTAGTGGGTTGCAGAACACTGACTCGTAGTACTGCTGTTCTTTTAGAATTTCACTCATTTCCTGTTCATCGTCAGTATACGAATCTTCTGTCAATAATGAGTTCATAGCTTGGATTTTGCATAGGAATAGAAATATTTTTGGTTTATGGCCCTTTGTTCGTTTTGTACTTTTGTTAGATATGACATTCTAAGTTTTTGCTGTAATCTCTTGGCTAAGACTATCTGTTGTAGCATATTTAAGCAACCCATTTTCTTCTTCTGTACCATCTCCTATGCTGTCAATCTCTATATCTGATATTCTGGGTTTCCTCAATGGTACATGCTTCATATATACCTTGTACAATTCAGCTTCTCTAAGCACTGGTGGGAATTTAGGGTCGTGCTCTTGTCTGATTCCCAGGATATACTTTATTTTTTCCCAGTCAATTTTATGGTTGTTCAAGTTAAACTTACTGAATCTCTAACATTAGTGACACAGTTCCCTAACCCTGAGTTAATGCTCGTTTGAACTTGTATGATGTGTTCAGAGTACAGTGGACCCCCGGTTAACGAACTTTTTTCATTCCAGTAGTATGTTCAGGTGCCAGTACTGACCGAATTTTTTCTCATAAGGAATATTGTGAAGTAGATTAGTCCATTTCAGACCCCCAAACATACACATACAAACGCACTTACATAAATACACTTACATAATTGGTCGCATTTGGAGGTGATCGTTAAGCGGGGGTCCACTGTATATTGTTTTTGTAACTGTGATTAGTTCCTCGTTGTTTGTGAATATCAAATCAAGGGTATTTTCATTTCTAGTGGGATCGATTATCTGTTGGTTCAATGAGTACTTTTCATAAAGCCTCGTTAGTTTGTTGTGCCAGGGTGCTTCCTGGAGATATTTCTGGTATAATGCACCATTTTACATGAGGGAGATTAAAATCTCCAAGGAGTAAAATATTTGATGTGGGATTTTGTAGCCTATCCAGATAGCTATCTGTCTTCCTTAACTGATCTGTGAATTCTTCAGCAGTTGCTGGTGGTGGTGGTTTGTATACTAGGATAATTTCCTATTTTCAACTTTAGAATTTCTAACATCATTCATAGAGTTCAGCACTTCTGTGCAACAGAAAGTACTAGTATCTTTTACATAGAGTCCTACTCCTCCCTGTGATCTATTAATTCTATCACATCTATGTAGTTTTCTATCTGTATCTCTCCATCTAAAATGTCCTGTGTGCATGTTTCTGTAAATGCCCCAAACATGGCATTTGCCCACTGACATAACTAACTTTGTAATTTTTATTTTATTTTATACCCTGAATAATTGCAAATATAAATTACCATTTGGGATGTTTTTGTTTTGTTGTGTGTTTCGTTAGTACCACTGGTAATGTACTACCTGGTATGGCCCCTGGTGTACATACTCCTGGTTTCTCCAGTACTACTGACTTTGCATTTGATTGTGTATTCGGCCCTGATGGTCTGATGCCTGGTTTGGTATGTCCCATTGTGCTCCCACTGTAGCATTTCCCCTTTTTGTCTCTTTCTTTGGTCCGATTGTTTCTCTTTATTGTCTAAAAAAGATTGCTGTTCATTTTCCCTTTCTGTGCTACCTACCACACAGCATAAATGTTTGTGTGGTAGGTAGCATCAATGTTTGTGGTAGGTAGCATCAATGTTTGTGGTAGGTAGCATCATTGTTTGTGATAAGTAGCATAAATCACCATGATGAAAAAGTAAGTGTAGCAGGAAGCCTAAGTGAGCAAGTTGTAAATATGTTGTGTATGAATTCTTATGTACCAGAATGGTATGTCTGTCCAGTAGGTGCTATAAGCCAACTTACTGTAAATAGAGTACTATGTCCAGTTGGAAGTGTAAGTTACCTGGGTGTCAGTTATGTCCAGTAGGAAGTGTAAGTCAACTGGGTGTAAATATATATATACTGGATCCCCTAAATGAAGTTTGTGTAAATGTATTACGTCCAGAAGGTAGCATCACTGACCATATTGTATTTTTGTTTGTAATAAAATACATAAATGCATATTTAGATCAGTAATAATATTTGACCAATATAATGAGTATTAATGTTCCATGCAAAGTAACAGAGCAGTAAATCTTCATTGACATTATTCCGTTGAAGGAGACGTGATGATGTTGCTGAAGGTCTCTCTCAAAAGGAATTGTAGGTCTACTCAAATTCAAATTCAAACAAGGCTCTGCACATACAGCACCTCTTTTCGGTGCTCCATGTTTTCATTACCTTCAAATTGAGGCAGTTTTCATTGTTTCACCTGCCAGCAGGTGGAACAACGACTCGGTTGAAAGTCAAAGAAAACGTGGAACATGGAAGAGGTGCTGTACATGTGGGGCCCTCCTGTGCTGTGTATGTGAGGCCCTCCTGTGCTGTATAAATGGGGCCCTCCTGTGCTTTATATGTGGGGCCCTCCTGTGCTGTATATGTGGGGCCCTCCTGTGCTGTATATGTGGTGCCCTCCTGTGCTGTGTATGTAGTGCCCTCCTGTGCTGTATAAGTGGGGCCCTCCTGTGCTGTAAATGTGGGGACCTTCTGTACTTTATTTCTTTTCTGGAGCATACAGGTAATGTAGTTTACATGTAGTAAAATATTGTTAGCCACAAAGAAAGCCACCAGCATACAGTGCATTTCAGACCATTGTTAGACAAAACCACACATGGGTCGTGCATTTTGTAGTCATTACACAAATAACCTGCATACAGGAGAGAAGCTAATGATGATGTTTTGGTCTGACTTGGACCATTGACAAAGTCACACTGTGACTTTGTCAATGGTCCAAGTGGGATCAAAACATCATGGTAAGCCTCTCTCTCTCTATCTGTGAGTTATTTGTGTATTGTTGCAGTCATGGTATTGTGCCTTTGTCTTTTGTAGTCACTGTATGTCCAGAGTGGGTTTAGCACTGCCATGAATCTAATAATATTAATCATACTAATAATGGTAGAATTACCGACAAAATATTAGGTAAATAGACAGATGCCACTAATGTGACACTTTATTGTGGTAATGTTATACTCTCCAGGAACTTTGTCAAGCATAACAGCTTGACAGATCTGTTGTCAGACCTAACAGCTTGACAGATCTGTTGTCAGACCTAACAACTTGACAGATCTGTTGTCAGATATAACAGCTTGACAAAGCTGTTGTCAGATATAACAGCTTGACAGATCTGTTGTCAAACATAACAGCTTGACAGATCTGTTGTCACATATAACAGCTTGACAGATCTGTTGTCACATATAACAGCTTGACAAAGCCATTGTCAAACATAAAAGCTTGACAAAACTCATGAAGAGCACAAACATTGTCACAATAAAATGCCACTTTAATTACATCTGTGTCCATTTACTAAATATTAATCTTGACTCTTATGATGTACATTTTACAAAGATGGTAAATGATGTACTGTAGCATATAATAGGATATGTTATTTAAAAATGTACAAGTGATACTGTATATTATTTTACAGACTGGAGATATAACAAGAATTCAATGCATGGAGCAGATAACCTGATTCATCGTTGTATCGTGCGCTGGCTGGGTGACTCTCTTTCCCCACACTGTATGGACCTGCATCTGAAGCTTACATATTTAAGTAAGTCAGCTTGTTGTCCTCCTTCAGTTATTTTTTGTTTATTTTTTTATTAACTCATGGGCCGATTCCCACCAAGGCAGGGTGGCCCGAAAAAAAGAAAAACTTTCATCATTGTCATTCACTCCATCACTGTCTTGCCAGAGGGGTGCTTTACACTACAGTTACAAAACTGCAACATTAACACCCCTCCTTCAGAGTGTAGACACTGTACTTCCCATCTCCACGACTCAAGTCCGGCCTGCCGGTTTCTCTGAATCCCTTCATAATGTTACTCTGCTCACACTCCAACAGCACGTCAAGTATTAAAAACCACTTGTCTCCATTCGCTCCTATCAAATACGCTCGTGCATTACAGCTTGTGGATGTCCAAACCCCTAGCACTATAAAACTCTATTTAACCCTCCTCAACCCTTCTACGTATATTATTACAGACTGAGATTACAAGATTCAAGCATTCTGTTCTCGTTATGTCCTGGCTGGGTGATCTACTTTCCCCACACTTATGGACCTGCCATCTGAGATAATATTTATAGTAAGTCAGCTGTTGTCCTCCTAGTTATTTTTTGTTTATTTTTATTAATTCTCATGGGCATATTCCACACAGCAGTGGCCCAAAAGAAAACTTTCATATGTCATCTCCATCATGCCTCTTGCCAAGGGGGCTTTACACTCATTACAAAACTGCAACATTAACACCCCTCCTTCAGTGTGCACTGTACTTCCATCTCAAGGACTTTTCGGCCTGCCGGTTTCTCTGAAATCCCTTCATAAATGTTACTTGTCACACTCAACAGCAGTCAATATTAAAACAACGCATGTCTCATTCGCTCTACAAATCGTCGTGCAACCTTGCTGGTACTAGTCCAAACCTTTCGCACACAAAACCTCTTTAACCCCTCCCTCCAACCTTCCAGGCCGACCTACACCGCTCCCTAATACAGATAAACTATGTCAGAGAAGTCAATTCTGTCTTGTCCATTCTCTCTACATGTCTGAACGCCTCAACATCCTGCTCCTCAGATCCCACTGGATATGGTTTGTAATCCCCACCTTCTCCTAATTCGGACTCGAATTCTCTGCATTGATAGTTCACCACACAGTTATGCCCTCACACTGACATCTCCACTGCTTAGCTCCCTCATTGCAAACTTCATCACCATGCTTCACAAGCCCATACAAGATGTTGGTACAAACGTTCTCTCATACATTCCCCTTTTTGCTTCCATGGACAATGTTTTTTGTCTCCACAGACTCCTAAGTGCACCACTCACCATTTTCCCCTCATCAATTCTGTTGTGATTCACCCCATCTGCTGACATGTCCACTCCTTAATATCTGAATACATTCACCCATCCTCCATACTTTCTCCCTCAAATCTGATATCCAGTCTTTCATCACTTAATCATTTTGTTATCCTCATAACCTTACTCTTTCCTATATTCACTTTTAATTTTCTTCTTTTATTTACCCTACCAAATTTATCCACCAACCTCTGCAACTTCTCTTCAGAATCTCCCAAAAGCACTGTGTCATCAGCAAAGAGCAACTGGTTAGGCTCCAGGCTACTGCAGTACAGGAGGGCTCCACTTAAACAACAGGTTAGGTTCCAGGCTACTGCAATACAGGAGGGCCCCACTTATACAACAGGTTAGGTTCCAGGCTACTGCAGTACAGGAGGGGCCCACTTACACAACAGGTTAGGTTCCAGGCTACTGCAGTACAGGAGGCCCCCACTTATACAGCAGGTTAGGTTCCAGGCTACTGCAGTACAGGAGGGCCCCACTTATACAGCAAGTTAGGTTCGAGGCTACTGCAGTACAGCAGGGCCCCACTTATACAGCAGGTTAGATTCCAGGCTACTGCAGTACAGGAGGGCCCCACTTATACAGCAGGTTAGATTCCAGGCTACTGCAGTACAGGAGGGCCCCACTTATACAGCAGGTTACATTCCAGGCTACTGCAGTACAGGGGGGCCCCACTTATACAACAGGTTAGGCTCCAGGCTACTGCAGTACAGGAGGGCTCCACTTAAACAACAGGTTAGGTTCCAGGCTACTGCAGTACAGGAGGGCCCCACTTATACAACAGGTTAGGTTCCAGGCTACTGCAGTACAGGAGGGGCCCACTTATAGAAAAGGTTAGGTTCCAGGTTACTGCAGTACAGAAGAGCCCACTTATACAGCAGGTTAGGTTCCAGGCTACTGCAGTACAGGAGAGCCCACTTATACAGCAGGTTAGGTTCCAGGCTACTGCAATACAGGAGAGCCCACTTATACAGCAGGTTATGTTCCAGGCTACTGCAGTACAGGAGGGGCCCACTTATACACAGGTTATGTTCCAGGTACTGACAGTACAGAGAGGGCCCCACTTATACAGCAGGTTAGATTCCAGGCTACTGCAGTACAGGAGGGCCCCACTTATACAGCAGGTTAGGTTCCAGGCTACTGCAGTACAGGAGGGCTCCACTTATAAAAAGGTTAGGTTCCAGGTACTGCAGTACAGAGGCCCCACTTATACAACAGGTTAGGTTCCAGCTACTGCAGTACAGGAGAGCCCCACTTATACAACGGTTAGGTTCCAGGCTACTGCAGTACAGGAGAGCCCCACTTATACAACAGGTTAGGTTCCAGGCTACTGCAGTACAGGAGAGCCCACTTATACAGCAGGTTAGGTTCCAGGCTACTGCAATACAGGAGAGCCCACTTATACAGCAGGTTATGTTCCAGGCTACTGCAGTACAGGAGGGCCCCACTTATACAGCAGGTTATGTTCCAGGCTACTGCAGTACAGGAGGGCCCCACTTATACAAGCAGGTTAGATTCCAGCTACTGCAGTACAGGAGGGCCCCACTTATACAGCAGGTTAGATTCCAGGCTACTGCAGTACAGGAGGGCTCCACTTATACAACAGGTTAGGTTCCAGGCTACTGCAGTACAGGAGGGCCCCACTTATACAACAGGTTAGGCTCCAGGCTACTGGAGTACAGGAGAACCCCACTTATACAACAGGTTATGTTCCAGGCTACTGCAGTACAGGAGGGTCCCACTTATGCAACAGGTTATGTTCCAGGCTACTGCAGTACAGGAGGGCCCCACTTATACAACAGGTTATGTTCCAGGCTACTGCAGTACAGGAGGGGCCACTTATACAACAGGTTATGTTCCAGGCTACTGCAGTACAGGAGGGGCCACTTATACAACAGGTTATGTTCCAGGCTACTGCAGTACAGGAGAGCCCACTTATACAGCAGGTTAGGTTCCAGGCTACTGCAGTACAGGAGAGCCCCACTTACACATAGCTTTGTTCCATGGCTTACTGCAGTACAGGTAGAGCCCTACTGATACAACAGTTAGGTTCCAGCTTTCTGCAGTACATGAGAGCCCACTTATACAACAGGTTAGGTTCCAGCTACTGCAGTACAGGAGGGCCTCTTTTTACAGCAGTTAGGTTCCAGGCTACTGCAGTACAGGAGGGCCCCACTTATACAACAGGTTAGGTTCCAGACTACTGCAGTACAGGAGAGCCCCACTTATAGAACAGGTTAGGTTCCAGGCTACTGCAGTACAGGAGAGCCCACTTATACAACAGGTTAGGTTCCAGGCTACTGCAGTACAGGAGAGCCCCACTTATACTACAGGTTAGGTTCCAGGCTACTGCAGTACAGGAGAGCCCACTTATAGAACAGGTTAGGTTCCAGGCTACTGCAGTACAGGAGAGCCCCACTTATACAACAGGTTAGGTTCCAGGCTACTGCAGTACAGGAGGGGCCACTTATACAGCAGGTTAGGTTCCAGGCTACTGCAGTACAGGAGGGGCCCACTTATACTACAGGTTAGGTTCCAGGCTACTGCAGTACAGGAGAGCCCACTTATAGAACAGGTTAGGTTCCAGGCTACTGCAGTACAGGAGGGCCCCACTTATACAACAGGTTAGGTTCCAAACTACTGCAGTACAGGAGGGCCCCACTTATACAACAGGTTAGGTTCCAGACTACTGCAGTACAGGAGGGGCCACTTATACAACAGGTTAGGTTCCAGACTACTGCAGTACAGGAAGGCCCACTTATACAACAGGTTAGGTTCCAGACTACTGCAGTACAGGAAGGCCCACTTATACAACAGGTTAGGTTCCAGACTACTGCAGTGTACTATATTAGGTAGAATACCTACTTTAGTGCTTTTTCCACTTTTTTTTTTTTTTTTTTTTTGTTTTACATTTTTCTGATGTAAGATGCTTGGAAAATTCTCTCTATTAGTTCATTATGTTGAAACTTGACTGTATGTCAGAAATGTTCTCAACATGAGCCTCTGGTAAGACCCTTGTGTTTTTTCTTGTTTTTTTTCTAAAGGAGAATAATAAGTCAAAATATTGTGGCTGAAACAATATGCCAGTAACCTGCAGTTAGTGGAGGAGCCTTATTACTAAGCTTCGATCGCTTCTTCATTGTTAACAATGATGCAGGATGGACCATCATAATGTTTCTCTCCTGTATGTGACCTTTTTCTATAATTTTTTTTTTTAAATTTGGCTCTGATGAAAGATCCCCAAAAATTCTGAAATGCTTTTGCCAACCATTTTTCCATTTCTAATAGATGCTTTGAAATTTTGCTTTCACTTGTCTTATCAGATCTTGTCATAGTGGTTGTTATGTTACAGCATGCATCGTGGCCAGCAGAAGTGAGGGAGAGAATCTACCTCAAAACAGTCACAGCATCACCTTCCGACCAGGACAAGATGCATCAGCATGGAGGAAACTCTACAAGCCTTGTTCATCCCAGAGACTCTTCATGCCCGTACGTACTCTTCACCACTCTGAAGGAGGGGTGTTAATGTTGCAGTTTAAAAACTGTAGTGCAAAGCACCCTTCTGGCAAGACAGTGATGGAGTGAATGATGGTGAAAGTTTTTCTTTTTCGGGCCACCCTGCCTTGGTGGGAATCGGCCAGTATGATAATAAAAAAAAAAAAATATTTTGGGCAAGCTTAACTAATTCTGACTAAAAAGACTACAGTAGCAACAATTATTATTTGCTTATATTCATGATCAAAAAAGGGTATACAAAAAACAAATTAAGGCATTACGACTGAGGTTGGATTGACGTTCTGTATTTTGTCTCATGAACAGGTAAAATGACAGGTGTGTCTTGTGTACTTTGTCTCATGAACAGGTAAAATGACAGGTGTGTCTTGTGTACTTTGTCTCATGAACAGGTAAAATGACAGGTGTGTCTTGCAAATCTCTGCTTACATTCACTATACACATCATTTTCTAGCTAGGAAGCCTGGTCTGAGACTGGCCATGGGGAAGGTAATAACCAGAACCATTAAAAGATTTGTTCCCCCTTGGCATCAGACCTGATTACCTTCCATTCTCTAAGGTCCATATGACCCATGCAGGTTAAGTATATACTTTGCAATGAATGTAATAGCCTGCATGGAATAAATAAGACAGAATATAAGAATAGTACAACATAGCATAATAAATACTTTATCTGGAGGTGTTCATATACTGACTACCATTCTTACTGTTTTTGTCTCTTGTAGGATTTCCTTTGTCTTACGAATAGCATACATATATTTTGCCTCGCTGCAGAGGTCTTTTTCAGGAGTCTGCTGAAGAGGACCTCAGTAACACACTAAAAATATAGGGCATTTCTTATCTTTATTTTTGTGTGTGTTTCTTTGCAATGTGAACTACCCTCTAAGTGGATATCTTGAAGGGCTTTTGATTTAAGGAATTGAAACAGCCCTCCACTATTTTATATAAAGTCTGATTACATGCTGTTTGTCGGTTACTGAATAACCTCTGCAGGCTTAGCGATTCTCCATGGAAATAATACATGTAGCCAACTCCCAGTGGCAACAAGTTCTTAATTAAAAATGTAGCTGCAGAGGTTGGCGAACGAGTTTGGTAGGTTGTGTAAAAGAAGGAAATTAAAAGTGAATGTTTTAGTAGTACCATACCAGTTACCAGTGTCAGTAGTGACTCACTACCAACCGTCTGTGTGAATCCCTCGTCATTCACTGTTGCGGCTGACCTTTGCGTGTTTTTGAATGCCGCTCGCCCATCTCTGCTCCCTATCTTTAGACTGCCTCACGAATGACGTCTAGGAGTGAGCGGCATTCAAAAACATGCCAAGGTCAGATGCAACAGTGAATAACAAATGATTGACACAGATGGTTGGTAGTGAGTCACTACTGATACTGGTAACTGGTTACTGGTACTACTGAGAAATGTAGGAAAGAGCAAAGCGATAAGGATAACAAAAATTTAGGCAATGAATAAGTGGATATTAGATTGGAGGGAAAGAGTTTAGATGAGGAGGTGAATGTCTTCAGATATTTGGGAGTGGACTCATTAGCAGAAGACGACGTGAATTGTAGAACTGACGATGGGAAAAGGGCGAGGAGTGTGTGGAGACAAAGAACTTTGTACGTGGAAGCAAAGAGGGAAATGTATGAGGGTATTGTTATACCCACACTCATATATGGGTGTGAAGCATGGGTCGTGAATGCAAGGAGAAGGGTGGAGATGTCATATCTGAGGGCAATGTGTGGTGAATATAATGCAAAGAATCTGTAGTTTGGGGATTAAAATGAGGTGCGGGGTTACTAAAAGTTTTATTCAGTGGTCAGAGAAGGGGTTGTTGAGGTGCCTTAGACATTTAGAGAGACTGGAAGAAAATGGAATGACTTTGAGGGCATATAAATCTGCAGTGGAAAGAAGGTGGGGGTAGGGGTTGGCCTAGGAAAGGTTGGAGGGAGGGGGTTAGGAGGTTTTTGTGTGCGAGGGGCTTGGACTTGCACCAAGCACGTGCGAGCGTGCTAGATAGGAGCAATTGGAGACGAATGGTTTTTATGATTTGACTTGTCGTTGGAATGTGATGAAAGTAGTATCATTTATGAAGGGATTCAGTAAAACCAGTTAGCTGGACTCGAGTCCTGGAGGTGGGAAATGCAGTGTCTGCACTCTGAAGGAAGAGTGTTGATATGTTGCAGTTTTTTAACTGTAGGGAAGGCATACCTCTGGCAAGACAGACAGCGATGGAGTGAACGACGATGAGAGTGTTTCTTTGTTGTCGGGTCGCCCAGCCTTGTGGGAAACGACCGATGTGTTAATACAAAAAAAAAAACTTATTATAGAATCCTCCCTCCATAAGTCACGTGTGTAGTAACAGGCGACTACAATGCCAGGAGCAAGGAAGGGACTAGTAACCATTTCTTTGTATATATTTGTAAATGTAAAAAGAAATGTTCTTGTTTTTTCTTTTTAGGTTGCCTTACCTTGGTGGGAGACGACTGGTATAAAAAAAAAATATTAAAGCTTGTCTATATACAGTGGACCCCCGGTTAACGATATTTTTTCACTCCAGAAGTATGTTCAGGTGCCAGTACTGACCGAATTTGTTCCCATAAGAAATATTGTGAAGTAGATTAGTCCATTTCAGACCCCTAAACATACACGTACAAACGCACTTACATAAATACACTTACATAATTGGTCGCATTCGGAGGTAATCGTTATGCGGGGGTCCACTGTATATATATGTATATTTTTTCAACAAGTCGGCCATCTCCCCCCCCCACACACACATATATATATCTTTCTCTTTCTTTCTTGTTCTGCTTTCAACACACCGGCCGTATCCCATCGAGGCGGAGTGGCCCAAAAACAAAAAACGAAAGTTTCTCCTTTTACATTTAGTAATATATACGGGAGAAGGGGTTACTAGCCCCTTGCTCCCGGCATTTTAGTTGCCTCTTACAACATGCACGACTTACGGAGGAAGAATTCTGTTCCACTTCCCCATGGAGATAAAAGGAAATAAATAAGAAGAAGAACTAGTAAGAAAAATGGAAGAAAACCCAGAGGGGTGTGTATATATATATGCTTGTACATGTATGTGTAGTGTGACCTAAGTGTAAGTAGAAGTAGCAAGACGTACCTGAAATCTTGCATGTTTATGAAACAGAAAAATGGACACCAGCAATCCTACCATCATGTAAAACAATTACAGGTTTCCGTTTCACACTCACTTGGCAGGACGGTAGTACCTCCCTGGGCGGTTGCTGCCTACCAACCTACTACCTATTTTTATTGCCCATTTAATATATGATAGTATAGACATGTTGTCAGGCTTTTATATGCATTTGAAAGTAAAAAAAAAAAAAGGACTATGGTTTTACAGATATTTTTGTTTTACAGCAGTAGCCTGGAACCTAACCTGATGTATAAGTGGGGCTGTCTGGTACTTGACAGAGTGAATATCTATCCAAACCATAACTCCCCCACCTGTCCATTGAAACATAAAATCCAGTTTATATAACATTTGAATTTTTGCTCTCATTGAAAAATTACTGTTCTGTAAAATGTTAATTATAGATGTTGTAGTTTGTCAGATTCACATTTTTTTCAGACAAGTTGTACGTTTATGGATGCGAATACAATCTTGGCTCCGACTAATGCACGTACACGAGCGTATGCAAGGCAGCAGAGAAGCGAGGCATCTTCGTTCTTCACGGTAACCGTGGCACTTTCCACAGCATCAAGCAGCCAGCCAGCCAGCCAGCCAGCCAGCCAGCTTCAGGGGTGTTTATCAAGCTTGGGAAGAGGTGAGAAGAAACCAGAAATATCAAGTATTTTTTTGTATTTCTACAGGTAATAAGCACTTTGACCTTACAAGTCTGGTGTATACACCTACCATCCGACTTACGACCGAGTTCGGTTCTGAGAAACCAGTCGTAAGTCGAAATGGTTGTAAGTCGAACTTTACTACTGAATATCAACAAAACATTTTTGTAATGACTTTATTTTATTGTTTTATTTTGGTATTTCATGTTTTACTTTACTTTTTATGCTGTTAGTACTGTATTTTATACTGTAAGGTTTTGGATAAACACTGTGTACAACACAAATAGTGGTTTATTTCCCAGAAATTTGGCATAAAAAAACACGGTGTAAGTCGAGTGGTCGTAAGTCGAGCAGGTCGTAAGTCGGACGGTAGGTGTATTTTTAATACAGCTTCTCCTCAATTAACGACCGAGTAACGGCAAAGTCAAGGGCCCAAGACCCTGTCGGTAAACGATTTGTCCCCAATCGAGGAATCGCCCCTCACTGACACTTGAAAAATGTCACTGCCCAAAATTGAAATGTTCAGTTTTACGTTTGCCGGGAAATTCCTCTCAATCCGTTTTTATTGACGGTAATACAATGCGAAATAGGTTGACGATTTACATACTTCCAAGATATTCCAGGAGATGTGTGTATCGCCAATTGCGTGGGAAAATAATTTATTTGAGAAAAATGCACTTTTTCAGTCTTTGCATAGGGTAAGAGTGAGTTTGTATTGCAACCCTTGAGGTGTGTAATGTTTATTGTTATGGTGAAGGTTATTTTGTTTTTATCCTGGTTTTCTAACCTTCAATACCTCTCTATGTAATGACAGTTTTTATTCATTTGGATGTCTTTATCATGCTTGTAAATTATTTATGTTATACCTATGATGGGTAGATAATGTTTATCGATGATAATAGTATAATTATACAATATTTTATAGTGCTGTGAGCTTACACATTTGTACATGATGGTGAAGCATGAGTTACTGAGAGAAATTGCTGGTGCCTTGTCCCTCTCTCTCTCATGGAGCCTAGCATGCCCTCTAATACTTCTCCACACATGTCAGTTTTTATTCATTCGGGCGTCTCTATCACTCTTCCGTTGCCCAGTTATTACGGCTGGAAATCCCGTCGATGGTTTCACTGCCTCTTTCACTCTATCTCTATCCTTCAAGATAGTGGGAATGGTAGAATGTCCCAGCTTCAAGTCATTGGCTATCACTTGTAATTTCTAACCAGCTTCATACTCGTCTATAATCTTCATTTTCACCTCGAGCTCGAGAGTCTTTGTTTCTTGGCACTTGCTTGAGGTGAAGTCAAGATGTTCTTTTTTGCTGACATCTTGTATTATGGGATGCATATAAAGTGGACTTTTGTACAAGTATGTGTAGTCTTGGAGACAGTGAAAGCTAATGTACGGAGTGGCTGTAGGAAGGAGACCGAGATATTTGACACCGAGACGCTGCACTGCCCGTTTCCACATCCCAAGTTCTCGTATGGCTTAAAATCCTCATAATAATAATAAAATAATGCTACAGTGTACTACTAATAATATTAATGATAATCATAAAAATATTAATTACTGAGGAGTGGTTTGAATGTCATACGTATTTTGTACAGGTTTGGTAGCTCACATTTAAATCACTCCAGAGTGATTATTAATGTTTTTTTTTTTTCAACAAGTCGGCCGTCTCCCACTGAGACAGGGCGACCCAAAAGAGAAAGAAAATCCACAAAAAAGAAAATATTTTGATCATCATTCAACACTGAGCTCACTCACACATAATCACTGTTTTTGCAGAGGTGCTCAGAATACAACAGCTTAGAAGCATATATGTATAAAGATACACAACATATCCCTCCAAACTGCTAATATCCCAAACCACCTGTCCTTTAAAGTGCAGGCATTGTACTTGCCCTTTCCAGGACTCAAGTCTGGCTATATAAAAACAACTTGTTACCCCAAATCCCTTCAGTAAATATTACCCTGCTCGCACTATAACAAACAGCTCGTCAGGTTCCAAGTACCATTCATCTCCATTCACTCGTGTCTAACACGCCCACGCACGCTCATCGGAAGTCCAAGCCCCTCGCCCAGAAAGCCTCCTTTACCCCCCTCCCTCCAACCTTTTCGAGGACGACCTCTACCATGCCTTCCTTCTCCTACAGATTTATATGCTCTCCATGTCATTCTACTTTGAAGCATTCTCCCTAAATGACCAAACCACCTAAACAATCCTTCTTCAGCCTTTGAGTAATACTTTTATTAACTACACACTTTGTCGTAATTTCCACACTCTGAATTTTCTGCATAATTTTCCCACACCACACATTACTTTTAGACAGGACATGTGACTCCCTCCAACTGCCTCCCCGCTGCAGCATTTAAAAACCAAGCTTCACACCCATTTAAGAGTTTTGGGTACTACACACTATAATTTCATACAGTCCCTTCTTTGCCTCCGTCGATGACATTTTTTGTCTCCACGTACTCGTCGGTGCACCACTCGCCTTTTTTCGTTTATCAATTCTACGATTAACCTCATCATTCCTAAATTCATGCGCTAATGTGTCAACTCCCAAATATCTGAAAAGATTCACTTCTTCATACTCCTCCCCAATTTAACGTCCAATTTTTCTTCATGTAAATCATTTGATGCCCTCATTACTTTACTTTGCTGGTAACGAGGTTATTTGGTGGACTGTAAGCGGGGTGTGAATGATACACTTCTTCGGAGGCTGATTACTTTATTGTTAAGTCGTAGTGGGTTACACAGGCTTGTGTGTGTGTGCCCATGGCCCGGGAGGGCCATGCCCACGAGAGAGAGCTGGGAGTACCTGTGTCTTCCTGCTAGGCCGCTGTGTGAGTGAGGGAGAGGCATGGGCCGGCAGGCTGGCGTGCCTACCTAGAGGCCTGGTTACAGAGGGCAGCACCTGAGTGGCGCGAAATATGAACTAAGCTGGCAGACAGCATGGGCTGTCTGTGCAGACAGTACAGGCTGTCTACACTGGTGTCTTTTTCTGTCTCATAAACATGCTAGATAACAGGGATATCTTGCTACTCCAACTTACACTTTGGTCACACTTCAGACATGCACATGCATATATATATATACTACATACATCTAGGTTTTTCTCCTTTTTCTACATAGCTCTTGTTCTTCTTTATTTCTTCTATTGTATATGGGGAAGTGGAAAAGAATCTTTCCTCCGTAAGCCATGCGTGTCGTATGAGGCGACTAAAATGCCGGGAGCAATGGGCTAGTAACCCCTTCTCCTGTAGACATTTACTAAAAAAGAGAAGAAGAAAAACTTTATAAAACTGGGATGCTTGAATGTGCATGGATGTAATTCAGATGACAAAAAAACAGATGATTGCTGATGTTATGAATGAAAAGAAGTTGGATGTCCTGGCCCTAAGCGAAACAAAGCTGAAGGGGGTAGGGAGTTTCGGTGGGGGGAAATAAATGGGATTAAATTGGGAGTATCTGAGAGAGTTAGAGCAAAGGAAGGGGTAGCAGTAATTTTAATGATCAGTTATGGAAGGAAAAAAGAGAATATGAATGTGTAAATGCAAGAATTATTTTGGATAAAGTAAAGGTTGGATGCGAGAAGTGGGTCATAATAAGCGTGTATGCCCCTGGAGAAGAGGGGAAATGCAGAGGAGAGAGAGAGATTTTGGGAGATTTTAAAGTGAATGTATAGGAGCCTTTGAACCAAGTGAGAGAGTAATTTGGTGGGGACCTAAATGCTAAAGTAGGAGAAACTTTTAGAGAGGGTGTGGTAGGTAAGTTTGGGGTGCCAGGTGAAATGATAAGGGGAGCCCTTTGATTGAACTTTGTATAGAAAGGGGTTTAGTTATAGGTAATACATATTTTAAGAAAAAGAGGATAAATAAGTATACAAGATATGATGTAGGGCAAAAATGACAGTAGTTTGTTGGATTATGTAATTGGTAGATAAAAAGATGTTTAGTAGGGACTCAGGATGTACATGTTTATAGAGGGGCCACAGATATATCAGATCACTTTCTAGTTGTAGTTTCACTGAGAGTAAAAGGTAGATGGGATACAAGGAGAATAGAAGCATCAGGGAAGAGAGAGGTGAAGGTTTATAAACTAAAAGGGAGGCAGTTAGGGTAAGATATAAACGCTAAATTTGGGGGATTTGATGGGCTAATGAGAGCATAGGCAATGGGTGAAGAGGTATGGGGTAGGTTTAAAATGTAGTGTTAGAGTGTTCAGCAGAAGTTTGTGGTTACAGGAAGTGGGTGCGGGAGGGAAAAGGAGGATTTGGGGGAATGATATTAAAGAGAGTAGTAAGGGAGAAAAAGTTAGCATATGAGAAGTTTTTACAAAGTAGAAGTGATGCAAGGAGGAAGAGTATTATGAGAAAAAGAGAGAGGTTAAGAGAGTGGTGAAGCAATGTAAAAGAGAGCAAATGAGAGAGTGGGTGAGATGTTATCAACAAATTTTGTTGAAAAAAAAAAAAGTTTTGGAGTGAGATTAACAAGTTAAGGAAGCCTAGAGAACAAAAGGATTTGTCAGTTAAAAATAGGAGAGGGGAGTTATTAAATGGAGAGTAGAGGTATTGGGAAATGGAGGGAATATTTTGAGGAATTGTTAATGTTGATGAAGATAGGGAAGCTGTGATTTCGTGTATAGGGCAAGGGGGAATAACATCTTGTAGGAGTGAGGAAGAGCCAGTTGTGAGTGTGGGGGAAGTTGGGGAGGCAGTAGGTAAATGAAAGGGGGTAAGGCAGCCGGGATTGATGGGATAAAGATAGAAATGTTAAAAGCAGGTGGGGATATAGTTTTGGAGTGGTTGGTGCAATTATTTAATAAATTTATGAAGAGGGTAAGGTACCTAGGGATTGGCAGAGAGCATGCATAGTTTCCTTTGTATAAAGGCAAAGGGGACAAAAGAGAGTGCAAAATTATAGGGGGATAAGTCTGTTGAGTATACTGGTAAAGTGTATGGTAGAGTTAATTTTTGAA